GTGTCTTCGAAGAGTGGTTCAGTGGGTAGAAAGGTATGCAATTAGGTAATACAACCTCAAAGCAACACACAGTCCTTTCTGAAAAGAGAAGTTCTTTTTAAATGTCACATCCTGCTAATATGCCCTGGGGGTTTTTGGCTTTGACAACTGAATTATAAGAAAGAATGAAACCTGCTAACATGCAGATATAACCCTAACGCCAAAAACTGGCATAAAAAGTATTCAGTAGAAACTCTTTTTCTTCTCTCTTGTCCCCTCTATTTTGTCAGAGGGGATGGGTACTCAACAGAGGGAGACAGAGAGGGAGAAAGCACCCCCCAATGGGGTGTGGTCAGCGTTCAATTCCTTCTCCTCCATTCTTCATCCTGTCTGGAGTCTGGGCACACATGTACACACACTTGGTAAGTTTTTTAACCCTCTGGGACTAGGATTCAACCCAATGTCAGCCGTATGGGATCTGGCTCCCTTAACCACTAGGCTATGAGCTGGCCCCAAAACTCTTTGCTTACATTACACTTTACCCCATTTCTCCATATCTGTCCCAACAACCTTTCATTACTAGGGTATCTATTCTCCACTCTCCATTCTAAAACATTTTTTAAAAATTAAATTATTGATTACCTCATAAAAATGTAACAGAAAAGGACTAGTAATGGGAGTGGCTGGTTTCTACTTAGTCATCAGTGGGTAACAACATTCAAGTGTTCTTTTTCTCAATATTCCCTTTGTACCCTCCCCTCTTTAACTCTAACATAAACTAAGGAATTAGAATATTTAAGCAGGCCAGCTGCCTGGCACAGCGGTAAACTGCTGCTCAAGGGAAGCTGAAACCCACATGGCAACTGTGGTCTGAATCCCTGGCCTGGTCAGCTTGAAATATGGCAGGCACAGGTGTAAGTACCCAGGATCTGGAGAATTAGAAGAAAGGTGCTGGTGAGACCAGACTTTGTAGAGGGGGTTCGCCTCTCTCTCGCTCTTTCCCGTGCATGTGCACACACTCTATCATAAAGAAAGAAAAAAAAAATCACTTAAAAAAATACATTCAGCTGTCCTTCCCACATGCCAATATTTGCATATGAATCCTGGCAGAATCTGATACAAACATGAGGCTATCAAGGATCTCCCAATAGTATTCATCTTCGCCTTTCACCTTTCATTGACTTCCAAACTCAAGTGCAATGGCCTAGCAGAAATAGCATACAATCTAATTAGCATTTTATTTCTCAACCCTCAACTTAAAAGGAAAGGAGAGGAAAGGAGAGACTAGTATCTGCCCATTTCTTTAGATATCAGATATCATCATCTCGGAATTTCTTCCCTACTATTTCTCTGTCCCACTAGACCTCAGACAGGAGAATCACTCACACTGATTGGCTGTCATCTTCCATATGCAGACACATGCAAATCACCCACAAACAGACTCGGGGGTCTTAGAGAAGCTCAGACAGCTGCAGAGAAATAGAAATACTGTGTGCACCCCCAAATTACTATTGCTTTTTGGGGGATGTCTGGGGCTTTCAGAGGACTTTCATTGGCAGCCAGTTAGGACTAGCTCAGCAGGGTGAGCTATGAACTTTTGGCTTCTTCATCTCTGCCTGGCAGACTGCAGGGCTGAGGGGTAGGAGATGAGGGCTATGAATATATCAGGACAGCTGATAAACTGATGGTGTAAACCCACAGTCCATTGAGAATCCAAATACCGAGCTAAATATTTCAAACAGCTTAGTAACTTTCATACGATACCGAAGAATAAATTCAATTGCATCTGTCAAGACAAGAAAAGTGTGTGTGTGTGTGTGTGTGTGTGTGTGTGAATAAGGCAGAAGACTTACCTTTTGGTAATGATGTTGTCTAAACATTACTCTCTTCAAACAAAAACAAACAACTCTTAAACTTCTAATACTAAAGAAACGGAACTGTCTTTTGGAATACATCTGATGCCTTGGGCTGTATTTTTGCCTTCTCTAGTTTATTTACTGTCTTCCTCCTCATTTATAGGATAAGGTCATAAATAAGAAATTCAAGACAAAAAGAAAAAAGGGAGAACAGAAAGCATTAGTCTCAAAACCTTAAACAGTGGTCAAAAGAAGAATCTAGTTTTAAAGATCACGCTGGAAGAGAAACTGTTCATTTAAATCAAGTTTCTAAATTTGATCGGAACCTGAATAAAAAGAAAAGTGAAGCTTCTAAGGGAGACCAGATGCGAACAGAAAACTTTAAGAATACTTTCTCTTGGGAACAGCAGCTAGCGTAATGGCTATGTCGCTGGACTCCCACGTTGTCGACCGCGGTTCATGTCCCGGACCTGGTAGCTTAAAACTCATGCCAGGTACGTGTGCGTGCGTGCCCAAGATCCCGAGAGGAGAATGTAGGAGAAGGGACTGTGACGTGGCCATCCCCCCTGGGGGGTGATTTATCGCTTTCTGTCTCTATGTCTCGCTCTGTCTGCTGGCGAGCGCACGCGCCCTATAGCAAAAACCTCTCCAAAAAAAGAATACTTTCTCTTGCTCCTGAACTTGTACCTACCAATATTTCCATAAGAAATTTTATAACAGGGAGGAGTTTAACCACTACCACCACCACTCACACAGAACCTGACACTTGGGGAAATATAATAAAACTTGGAAGAATGTTCTCTTTCAGATGAAAGCATGCCAAATAAAACTTGAAAAACCAGTCCTGTGATCTTTCTATCTATGAATGTATTTTATAATATAAGCAGTTCATATTCTCTTTTTTTCACCTCTTACATGGTGTTATAATAATCAACTAGACATTCACCTAGGAGCTTGAAATCTAGGGCATCACTCTAGCTGTCGCATCTACCTGTTCCTTTCCAGATCATATTTTCTCTTAAGTAAAAACAGCCCTAGAGTCAAGCATAGGCATTAAGCATAATTCTGAGCTAAAATTTTTAATCAGAGTTATATAAGGAGAAAGCTGAATTCAGATTATTGTGAAGAAGGGAAAAGTTAATGAAGTATTTGAACCCTCAATTGGTAGGAAGTTAAAGAACACTGACAACCTCAATCTACACTTCTTTACTGACCAGTCTCACAGTTGAATGAGACGGCCATACCTTTTCCCCCAAATTGAGACTAGACTCAAGGGTTCCTTTCCTTTCTTTCTTTTTTTTAGAGCAGTTTTAGGTTCACAGCAAAGGTGAGCAGAGGGCACAGAGGTTTTGCGCATGCCTCCACCTACATTCATGCTGGACACGTTGGAGGAAAACGTCTCTGGGGAGCTTGAGGATGTTTCAGTGCAAACTTCCAAAACTAAAAAGCAAAGCAAAAACAGACAGAAAAGAAATTCCAGAACAGCACAGCCAAGAACTAGGGAACAACTACGAAAGGGATAAAATACCTGCCACGGGAATACCAGAAGGAAAAGAGGAAAAAAATAGAATTGTTTAAAATAATTGATAAGAACATCCCCAAATTAATGTCCAATACCACAATATAGCTCTGGGAAGCTCAGAAAACATCAAGTGGAATAAATGCCAGGAAAACTCTATGGAAGCATATCATTGTCAAACTATCACAAACCACAAAAATGAAAAAAAAAAAAAAAAAAAAAAAAAAAAAAAAGCCGGGGCGGGGAGGAACCTTACATATAGAAAAGCAAAGAAGATAATTATATCTGATTTCTCCTCAGAAACTACACAAACAAAAGAGCAGGGTGAAATATTAAAAGTGTTCAGAGGGAAACAGATAAATAAATAAAACCCACCAACCTAGGTTTCTATGCCCTGCGAAGTTTTATCCTTTAATAGCTGTAGAAAAAGTAAGTATTTTTTTCAGACAAACAAAAATTTAGGGAATTTGTGGACGGTATATTCACCTTGCAAGAAATGTTAAAAGAATTTTTTTAGACAATAATATAGATCAGAAAGTAGGAGCTATATAAAGAAAGAAAAAGCATCAGAGAAGTAAGTGAAAATAAAAATCTTTCTTTATTCAAATCTTTTTTTTTTTTAAACAATGAGAACAGAGAGGAATCTGGCTCCTGGTACATAGGGACATAGACACTGTCCTTGAGAAACACAAATAGTCACTCTGAAATTCACCAGGGAATGGGGAAGCAAGATCATTAATTACATAGCACAAAGCACACACTAATCTCAATGCGATTTAAAAAAATCTCTCTCGAGGGACCAGCAGGTGGCATGGTGGTTAAGGTGCTGGACAAACCCACATGGCCAACCACAGTTCGAGTCCTGGACCTGGGGGCTTGCTTTCTTACTTTCTCTCTGTCTCTCTCTAGTCAAATGGAAATAAATGAATGAATGCATAAAATTAAATAAATAATTAAAAAATCTCTCTCGATAAGTAAATCATAAAACAGGACAGCCATATGAGGGGGATTTTGAAAAGTTTGTGGAAAAATGGAATTAAAAGTAGAAGTCTGATTTGGTACAAACGATTTCTGAAATCCACGCAGAGTTTTATTCACAATATGAACTGTTTGAAGACCCGTCTTCCTGGCTAAAGAATGAATGAAAGGTTCCAGACAAATGCTAAAAATTACACTGCGTATTAAGAGAGGTGCTCAAATACTGAGAATTTGCATGACATTTAGAGAAACAGGCTTAAACTTAGTATGTGGTTGGTTATTTATTTATTTATTTATTTTTATTTTTGGAGAGATTTTCACTGTAGGGCGCGTGCGCTTGCCAGACAGACAGAGACATGGAGACAGAAAGCGAGAAATCACCCCCCAGGGGGGATGGTCACGCCGCAATCCCTTCTCTTCCATTCTCCTCTCAGGGTCTTGGGCATGCACGCACACGTGCCCGGTGTGAGTTTTAAGCCACCGGGTCCGGGACACGAACCGCGGTCGACTACATGGGAGTCCAGCGACATAGCCATTACGCTAACTGTTGGTTCCCTGTGGTGGGTTATTTTTCTTCGTAAACAGACCCAGCACTGTCACAAAGGCACTTGTTTAAGGCTGGTCAATTGACAGTCCTGAATCTCATTCTCACACAGTAGTGGGCTTACCTTGTGGCAAAGAGAAACATCCTAGATAGCAACTCTCTGGCCAGTCGGATGTCATATTCAGGAAAAGGATAAAGAGCCATTTCTCCCTGCTACTGCTCTTTCTGCTCCTGCCAGTCCGGTGAAGGCTTCCAGACAATTCCCTGTGCCTCCAGTTAGACAGCCTTCACCGCCCAGAATTCCCTAAGCTCAGTGCAAGTGGGAGGGACTCTCAGTCCCAGGTACCTGGGTCAATTGGTCAAATAAGTGACTCTTCATAACTTTTCCTGAGAAGAACCAGCATCTCAGACAAGAGCATGCTGCTTAGAAATGCCAGAATTCTATTTTGTGGGCAGGAGGAGGAGGGAAGCAAGGAAAAGCATTTGCTGATGAAATGCATTGAACTGAAATCAGGAAATCTTCAATGCTCTTCTCTGCTGAAGCTGTGCCCTCCTCCACATGCAAAAATGCCGCTGTCTGCAGAAAGGGTATGCTGACTGCTGATGCAGTGGTTCCATCAAAACATCTCCAAGCCTTCCTGGGCACGCTGTCCCCAGAACACCAAGGCAGCAGCTGGTGGAGCAGAACCACTGCCAAGGGCAGTGCAAAGCACCAGGGAACTAACACTGCTGTTCACCTGACAAAGGATTACAAAGCAAACCCTGAGCTTCAGTGAGCCCTTCGGCATGATTTACTTTAGGAACGTGTAACTTCTCCGTGGATGGAGAAATGCTTGATTATTATGTCAGACGGTTCCCATCATGATGGAGACTGGCGATAGAAGGCGAGGAAGAATGAGATGATCGCAGAGACAGCACTGGCTCGGGAAATCTTCTGTTTGAAGCTAGAACATTTTGTCTCCTTTACCAACTCACTGAACTACCCTCGCCTGAAGCTTGACAGAATTTAGGGAGAAGTTTCTGTCAAGACAAGTTGGATCATAAGAATTTCTATCAGGGACAGCAGGTGGCATGGTGGTTAAGGCACTGGACTCCCACATGGCCAACCGTGGTTTGAATCCTGGACCTGGTGGCTTGCATTCCACTCTCTCTCTCTCTCTCTCTCTCTGCTCAAATTAAAATAATAATAAATAAAATAAATCATTCTTAAGAAATAAAAAGGAATCCCTAGTGACAGGTGAGAGAGAATTCAGAAATCTAAGCAGAAAAGAAAGAATGGAATTGGATTGGTGAGAATATTATGCTCTGGACCACTAAAAACTTTTCCTTCTCTGTTTCTTGAGAGAGAAAGAGAGAGCCTAACTTCTGGCAAGGCCTTATCCTCTCATGTACCTTCTATAAGCCTTCCAGTCAACCAGGATCACAGGCGTGCCCATGGGTGTGTCTGTGTCCAAAATGCCAGGAGGAGAATGGAAGAAAATAGATTGCAACATGGCCATCCTCCTCCAGGGTTTAATCTCTCACTGTCTCTGAGGAGCACATATGCCCTGTAACAAAAATCTAAAAAAAGAAGAGCCTCTACTGGAGGGGGGGGTCTCTCTCATGAAATTACTTACTTACTTGCTTAATTAATTAATTAATTATTTTTGGAGAGGTTTTTCGCTATAGGGCTTGTGCACTTGCCAGACATAGAGACAGAAAGCAAGAAATCGCCCCCCAGGGGGGATGGCCACACCGCAATCCCTTCTCCTCCATTCTTCTCTCAGGATCTTGGGCACACATGTACCCGCGCCCGGCGTGAGTTTTAAGCCACTGGATCCGGAACACGAACTGCGGTCGACTACGTGGGAGTCCAGCGACATAGCCATTACGCTAATTGCTGGTTCCACTTAATTTATTTTTTTAAAAAAGATATTTTTGCTACAGGGTGCCTGCATGGGCCAGAGACAAAGTGAGAAATCAGCCCCCAGGGAAGATGGCCACACCACAATCCCTTCCCTTCCATCCTCCTCTTGGGGATCACCTCTTGGGGACACACACGCCTGGCCTGAGTTTGAAGCCATTGGGTCCAGGACTCGAGCTGCTGTCGACTACATGGGAGTCTAGCGATATAACTATTATGCCATCCATTCGTCCCCTAAATTAATTAACTATTATTATTTTTTAAAGAATTATCTAACTTTATTTATTAATTTTAATTTGACCAGTGAGCACAAAAGAGAGCGAGAATAAGAATGCAAGCCGCCAGGGCTGGGACTCAAATCGCAGCTGGCCATGCGGGAGTTCAGCGCCCTTAACCACCACACCACCTGCTGGCCCTCAGTTATTTTTAAAAGATCATCCCTTTCTGAAGTCTGAGTGCTTTCTCTGATGCTATTTCTGCCTTTGTCTCTAACCAGTCTGATCTATCTGGACACTCTCACCCCCCGGCCATCTACCAGCAGCTGAGGCGCTTTGCTGAACGAGTTCTCTTTCTGCACCTCTCTCTGACTCACCGACTAAGCCTCTTACCTGTGCTTCAGTCGAAGTTTCACCCCTCCTGACCATGCTGCTTTCCTGTGCTGGGGGCCAGAGGAGAGAAGCTCCGGACTGCAGGAGTCAGCGACGCCAGTGTCTGCATGGCCCAGGTCTGCACATGCGTCTCTGTCAAAACAGGAAAACAAGCAGCTGAGCACGAGGGTGTTCATGGGCAGAAGTACAAACGAGGCCAAGAAGAAAATGCAGAGATGAACTCCGGCCCCAGAGCCCAGCAGCGCAGCCAGGTGAAGAGCTCCAACCTGCACCTAAAGCTCATGCCCTAAGGAGGGCAAGCCCCAGCCGGCTCCATAGCGCAGTGGTAATACGCTAGTCTAGAGAAACCGGATTCCACATGGTGACTGTGGTTCAAATCCCCAACACACACAGGGCATGTGCACAAGTACCCAGGATGTGACAGGCTAGAGGGCTGGAGGAAGGGGGTTGGGGCAAGACCAGACCTTGTGGAGGGTGCTCGCCTCTCTCTCACTCTCACATGTACACACTTTACTAAGAATAAAGGAGAAGAAAATAATAAAGGGCGAATCCACTATTGAGGTCTTCTTCCTCCTCGACGCTTCTGTGAAGTAAGAAAGTCTATTTCCCAATCTTAAAAATGCAGACCTGCTAAGCAAGGGGGAAGGAAGATACATGAACTATTATGAAAATAAACCCCCTGCAATCCAGCATTGAGAAGAAAGTGAACAACTGGGCTCACTGAAGCTAACTGTCAGACAAGGGGGTTCCCCGAGGCCAGGTCACTGCCGCCTCCCTCCTCGGTTTCACTCTAAGGGCACGCTCTCCGGGCGAACAACCCGTGCTCTGTTCCGTGGGTGGTAGCTCAGAAGCACATGCCAACTCTTGAGCCTGAACTTTTTCAGATGATTTAGATTCCACTGCGCTGGGAGGCAAGCCTTTTGTGTGTCCATTTAAATCTCCCCTCCCACCCCCATCCCTGCCGTCATTCCCATAACTCTCTTCCTCCATACTCCCAGGGAGTCAGAGAAAAAATTTTAAGCCCCACATCGCCGATGCGTTCCGCCATGGGAACAGGCATCTTTCTTCTCCGTGGAAGACTCGAGAGCCCCAGTGTCCGAACACCCCGACTGTGTGCTCTGTATCAGACTGTCCCCTGCGGGAGACGTAGGAGTGGGTTTTGTCCTCATCCCGGTTTGCTGGGTACCAGGGATCTGTTTTCAATTTCTGTCTTCCAGCATTTACCTTCTTTGTCCTCCCTCCCTCCCTTCTTTTCTTCCTTCTTCTTTCTTCCCTCTCTCTCCTAAATTTGCGTTAGGACACGCAGGCTCAATGGGGAGGGACAGAGGGAAGTGAGAAAGCACTCTTCGGGGGGATGGCCATGGTGCAACCCCTTATCCTCCATCCTCCTCTCGGGATTCTGAGCCTGCACATGCACTCAGTGCTGTTAGTCAAGCCTTCGGGTCCAGGACTCAAATTGTGCGGTTGGCCACAGGGATCCAGTGCCTTAACTGCCCAGCCACTGTCTGGCCCAAAGATTTTTTAAAAATTATGGAATTGTATTTGTTATTATTATTTTTTAATCTGAGCATTTGTGTGTCTATTTAAATCTACCCTCCCACCCCTGATCCCCACTGCCATTCCCATAACTCTCCTCCTCCATACTCCCAGGGAGTCAGAGACAGACAGACAAAGAGAGAAAAAGGGAAAGTGAGAAAGCAAGTCACCAGGTCCAGGACTCAAACCACAGTCAGCCATGTGGGAGTTCCATGCCTTTAACCACCCTACCACCTGTGCTGGCCCCGGCCCAAGGATCTTTCTAAGGTCTGAAATCTGATGGGTGGGCCTGACATACGTGTCAACAGGAATCTGGAGAAGGCACCAATGAGGCCGCTCTCCCTGCACAGGCCTTGGCTGAGAGGGTGTGGGGTTACGGAACAGCTAAGAACGCGCTCCAGCTGTCTGGCCCCGTATTCCCTGGAGCATGAACAGCAGTGAAGGAGTTTCCTTTCTTATATCTTATGGCAGAGATGACCAGACCAGTAGCGTTTCCCTATCTAAGATGAAGTTTTCACCTTTCCCTTAGGTATATCTAAGCACCACGACAACCTGTCCGCTACCTTTCTCACCATATCTAAATTCACATACCGTCTCTGCACTGACACCTAGGGCCCTGGCTTTGAGTATTATCGATATAACCCTGGACTTGAAGTCTGAAGCCCTGACTGAGGTGGTAGCACTCACGGCAGGCACTGGGCAGGTACACTCAGAGCCTCGGCCTCCTCAGCTGGAGGACAGTGGCAATAAGAGGTGGTGCTTGCAAGAACTAGGGGCATGGCTCAGGAGTTTGAGTCCTGGCTCCACCCACTGACCAGCTCTGGGCTTTGTCCTCGCTGTGTCCCATTTTTCTCATCTATGAAACGGATGCAAAGAAATGGCCTCTTTCATAGGGTTGTCGACAAACCTGAAATAATTCAGGTAAAACATTTAGAATACACACACATACACACTCATACACATACACACACACACACACACACACACACACACACACACTCTCTCAGGACAGACACGCTC